GGGCGCGGGCGACCGCAGCCCGAGCCACTGCACCTCCCCGGTGGTCAAGTCGCGGCCGCGCGAGCCCCGGGACAGATTCAGCCCGGGCGCACGGCACCCTGCTCCGGGGACCCCCGGGACTCAGGTGGCGCCCAGGCGAGCAGGGGAGGACCGAAGTCCAGAGCAGAAGCGAGGACAGGCAGAGCAGCAGAAGCAGGGGCCCGGGCGGCCCTGGTCACTGCCCACAGCCAGACAGCAGTGGGACCACCGAAGCACGTCTCCGCACCATCCCTGCCAGACTTGCAAGATGGGTTTTCTTGCGTAAAGGCCCTGCCAGCAGTGAAGGGTGGACGGGTACCAGCGTCCCCCAGAGGGAAGAACCTGTTCCTGCCCATTTGGAGCAGCCCGCCCCTGCCCCCCACGCTTCACCCTCACCACTGCTCCACAGGCCCCCAAAGGAAACCTGAAATGACCCACACCTGCTCCAGGTGGGCTGAGCCCTCCTCCCTGCAGAACCAGTGGAACAGCACAGGCCCTCCTGCCTGTCCCCTCCCTCCCTCTTCTGGGCTTCGCCAGGGCAAGAGGCTGGCAGGCTGGGTCCCTCTGTGTGGCCAGCCCCCAGCTGCCTTGTCCCTGAAGAACACGTGGCTTCTCCCTTGGACTGACTTCTGTCACCCGAACTCTTCCAGGGCCTGGGGCCTTTGCGGGGGAAAGACGCCCCCTCCCTTGGGGCCCAGCCCAGCCAGCCCTGTTCCCAGTTCCCTGTGAGCTCAGGAGTCAGCTTCATGTGACCACACAGGTCCAGCGCAGCCGTGACCAGACTGACACCCTAAGAGCAAATCCTTGGAAGACAACCTGCTGAAGTAAGTCAACCCCCCGGACAGCCCCGTGTCCCTGCGTCTCGGCCACGAAGCGTGCAGGCTCTAGAAGGAGGAAGAGCAGCTGCTGGGAAAGAGTGGAAGTTCAGTCCAGAGAGAGGCAGCCTGCGGAAAGGAGCTGAGAGAGAGCAGTGTTAGGCCATTACATGTGCGTGGACTCGGGGGGCGCCGCGTGGGGCCGCTCCTCGGAGCCTTCGGCCAGCAGGAGGGAGTCCACCGACTTGTTGCTCAGGCGGAAGGGCGACAGGCGGCGGAAGTTGTCGGGAGAGTGGGGGATCTGCACGCGGGCCCTCTGGGAGGGCACCACCGTCTCCCCGGGAGACAGCCACGGTGGCACCCTGGCCAGGATGCTCTGGTCCAGGTCCTCGTCCGGAGAAAACACAGGGTTGTCAATTCCTAGGAGAAAGGGCAGCGGCTGGTCAGCCTCCCGGGAGCACCCTGCACGGTGGCAGAAGGGGACGCCACTGCGGGCTCAAACACCAGCTGGTCCTGCGGCTGTCACCTGCAAGTTCACCTGCAAGGTTACCTGGAAGGTTAGAGTCACAAGCCTTTCGGGCTGCAGGCCCTTCACCCCAGCTTTCCCGCCACTCCGTGGCCCCGCACGCTGCAGGCGGCACAGGTAACGCCTCCCTCCTCAGGCAGAGACCCTGCCACCGCGAGGACGGCCCCTCCCTAGGACAGCATCCTCCAGCCAGCCGCGGGCACCGCGGGCCTCTCCAGGACCCCCATCCCTGCCCGAGTGACCGAGCCGCCCCCACAGCCTCCACCATGATGTCGCCCGCCCACCTGCCGGGGAGTCCGATGCGGCGTCCTTGGTGACATTCGCCAGGAACTCGATGCCCCCACTGGTCTCCTCGGCATCGTCGGGGGCTTCCTCAGGGTCCGAAAGTTCCAGATCTGGGGGCAACACAAGGGGACCAGGCTGGGGGTGAGGGTGAGCTGGGTTCATCAGCACCCTGGGCTGGCTCAAGTGTGACCCGAGGGCCTGTCCCAGGGCCACCGCGCTGGCAGCATCCAGACGGCTCCATGGAGGCAGCGCCGGGGTGGGGGCAGGGCCCTCGGCGAGGAAGGGGCAGGGACCACGGGGCCAGCAGGGAGGGACGAGGGGAGCCCTCACTGGGGTCCCTCCTCCAGTGGCTCAGTCACAGGTGGTGACCGGGACGCGGGCGCAGCCAGCCTCAGGGGCGCAGGTGGGACAAGCAGGGAGCGGGCTGCTGGGCGGGGTCCGCGCGCTGGGGGGAGGGTCTCCCTGTGTCCCGCGGGGCCGGCCTGTACCTTTCTCCTTGATGGCGAAGGTGTGCGCGGGGCTCTCGGTGGGCAGCTTCCCGTTGGGAATGCTGCTGTTCCGCTGCGGAGCAAACAGGAAGCGCTCACCCATGCAGGCGGCGCACCCGCACCCCTCCCCGAGGGCAGGGCAGGGCCCGCGCTCTGCTCCAGACCCGCAGCCTCCCAGCGTCTGCTCCCGCGTCCCGCACCCGTTTCTGGGCGCGCTCCCGCTTGTACAGCTTGGCCGCCTTCTTGTTCTGGTTTATGCCCAGCTTGGCCGACTTGAAGGACTCCAGGCGCTTCCGCATGGTCCTGTGGAAGATCTCCTTGTCCTGCTTCTCGTCCTCGGTGGGAGTCAGCTCGTGCCGGCTGTAGAGGTGCTTGTACTGGGGGCACAGGGGCAGGGATCGCCACAGCTGGGGTGCGGCGGGGCACCCGGGGGCGTGGGGCACCCCAGCCTCACCCTCCTGCTGCCAGAGCCGAGCCCAGGCGAGGGGGAGGGGAAGCACCGCCAGGGCCCTGAGCAGACCCCCGGCCCCGACCCCACCTCCTGCCGCGGCTTGTACAGGTACTGCTGCAGCGTGTGGTGGGTGACCATGTCCTCCGTGTCTCGGATGCTGCGCCGCCGCTGCTCCAGGGACTGCATGTCCAGACGCACCGCGCTGACGTTCTCCCTCCTGTGTGGGGGCAGCGCTGAGCGCCAGGTAATGTGCAATGGGGCCTCCTGCCTGCCCCGCACCCTCCTGCGGGTCTGCACCTGCCCAGGGCCTGGGCCCCAGGACACCTGGACACTTGGGCACCAGGTCAGCTGGGCACTAGGACACCTGGACCTGGGCACCAGGTCACCTGAGCACTAGGATACTTGGGCACCTGGACCTGGGCACTAGGACACCTGGACCTGGGCACTAGGAAACGTGGAGACCTGGACACTTGGGCACCAGGACACCGGGGGCACCTGGGCACCAGGTCACCTGGGCACTAGGACACCTGGGCACCTGGACCTCGGCACCAGGTCAGCTGGGCACTAGGACACCTGGAGACCTGGACCTGGGCACCAGGTCACCTGGGCACTAGGAAACGTGGAGACCTGGACACTTGGAAACCAGGACACCGGGGCACCTGGGCACCAGGTCACCTGGGCACTAGGACACCTGGAGACCTGGACCTGGGCACTAGGATACCTGGACCTGGGCACCAGGTCAGCTGGGCACTAGGACACCTGGAGACCTGGGCCCCAGGACACCTGGACACTTGGGCACACTAGGACACCTGGAGACCTGGACCTGGGCACCACGTCACCTGGGCACTAGGACACCTGGACACTTGGGCACCAGGTTACCTGGGTACTAGGATACCTGGGCACCTGGACCTGGGCACCAGGTCACCTGGGCACTAGGACACCTGGAGACCTGGGCAGCAGGTCACCTGGGCACTAGGACACCTGGAGACCTGGGCACTAGGACACCTGGAGACCAGGACACCTGGGCACTAGGACACCTGGCTGACTCCTTCTCTTCTCTGGGCTTAGCCTGCCGCCAGAGGCCCTGAAGTCCTCCTGTTTAAGTTTGACCCCCCATCCCTCCTCACCTGTTCACTCCAGAGCTCTGGCTGTGACGCCCCCAGGTGCCGCCCACCACCCCTCCCCAGCATCTGCGCACCTGTGCCGACTGGTGGACGATCAACAAGAACTGGCCACGGCTGTGAGCCTGGGGCCAGTGGGGCAGCGGATGCGAAATGGGGACCAGTCCAGCTCTCCCAGCCGGGGGCAGACAGGTCAGGCCCCGGCCCCAGCCCGCTGCCGCCCTGTCCTTCCCTCCCCGACGCCCTCCCTGTGTCTCGCATCACCGCAGTGTGGACGTGGTCTGGCTGCTGCCTGAGGGAGGGGTCGCCTGGCCCCTCCTGCACCCCCGGGGCACCCAGGCTGGGCCCTGTTGCTCAGGACTCTCGGTTCCCTGAGGGCCTGGGGGAGGTGCCGTCAGGCGCCCGCTGTGCCGAGGAGCTGGTGCGGCCCTGGATACGTACAGCAGGTAGGAGACGGAGGCCTCCACGGTGGACGGGCGTGGCGTGCTGAAGTCCACGTTGACCATGTTGTCGGTGCTCGGGGAGCGGATAAAGGCCAAGGACCCGCGGCGCTCGCCCTGCGGTAAGAGAGAGCCTGGTCAGCGCCCTGGGCCCGCAGGCGGCAGCTGCCTGCACAGGGTGGAGGCCTGGGGAGGCCCTGGCCAGCCGTCTCGGGATGACAGAACAGGCTGCACGCGAAGCCGCCATCGGGGCCAGAGCTCCCGGAGGGGGCTGAGGACCACCCTGCGCTGGGGGTGGGTGCTGGCTGCTGGGCTGGGTGGGGATGGCCTGGCCAGGTCAGTCTCTGACGCTGGGGGGAGCCGTGTGCCTGGAGAAGGCGGACACCACGGGGCAGCCTTGGGGCCACGCCCCGTCCATGGATGGGGACGTCCCTGCTGCTTCCCGTCTGCACGCGTGTGGTGTGTGTGGCACGTGCGTGCCTGTGCGTGTGTGCACGTGGGGCCTGGCCTTAGCTCTCGGCCCGCCAGCACCACAGTGTCTGGAGAGGGTCCTAGGGGCTCCGTGCCTCAGTCTCCCTGAGCGAGGGAGCGGTGACGTGGCCTGTTCCCAGGGCATCAGAGGGCTCCGCGTCTCACGTGACCTGGGCAGGTCACGGAGGACGGCACGGTGCTCCCCGCCTGCCCTCCACCACCCACAGCCCAGACCGCGGTGGCCCACGCCGTGTCCAGCAGAGCGAGTGGCGGTGCCACGGCACCTCAGCCACGTAGCTGATGGCGTCCTTCAGGTTTAGCTCGTGGAAGACGTTCAGGATCCGGTCCCGGGACTTCTGAGCCGACTGTCGCATGAGGACTCTGCTGAGGAACTTCCTGTCGAAATTGGACCACCTGGGGACAGACGGCACAGGGTCGCCGCGGTGAGGTGGAGCCGGGGGGTAGGCCGGCCACGACACGCCCCTTCCCCCCTGGATTTTCTCCACGGAGCCGTCAGCCCCACGCCTCCCGCCGTCCCACGCCCTGCGCGTCTTTCTGTCTGACGGCCGCTGTCTCTAGAACGTCCGTTTCTCATCTGCCACCGCACTGTGAGCAGTTTCCAAGCGATCGCGCCCCTTAGAAGGCGGCGTCAGGACGGGTGGGTGCCGGGACCGGCCGTGGAGCGGGGAGCCTCTGGCCCTGGGCGGGGACGAGTCAACTGCGCAGAAGGAAAGGCCGGGAGGGCGGCCCCACGGAGCTCTTAGCCGCCGGGACAGCCAGCGGCTGGAGTGTGGTTGTCTTCCTCTAACAGCTGGAATCTTCCCTGGCTGTTCGGGTCAGAAGGCAAGGCCGCCGGTGGACTTAAAGAGGAACTGGTGGGCCCCGGGGCAGGGAGGTCCTGTCCTTCCTGAGGATGGATGGAGCCGCCAGAAGCCGCCCCGCAGAGCCGGAGGGTGGGCGAGGCCCGTGTGCCCATGGAATCGCACCGAGAACGCCACGTGTCCCTTCTGCTGACTGCGTCCGGCTCCTGACGACGGGTGCTCTGCGCAGTCAGCCTCGCCAGGACGCCGCGGCTAGTCAGGGTCGGGCCCCTCAGAGACGCGAGGTCGGGGACCCCCGGGCACCTCGGAACCCAGTCACAGGAGCCACCAGGGCTCTGCTTCATGGAAACCACGGTCACGCCCTCTGGACCTTTCGAGTAATTAGTTCATAAACAGCAGCCAAGCGTGAATGTTAGGTGCTTTAGTTACTGGATTTGTTATAATTTTAAGTGTCAAATGTATTTTATAATAAAATGTGAATAGGCAATTTCCATTTCATGAACAAAATAATTTCACATTTTGATACTAACACACCCTTCCTCTGTTCACGGCACGGAGGGTCCTCTATCTCCCTATTTCCACCCCCCACGTCTTAACAATTTGGAATTAACTGGCCCCCAGCCAAGGGCGTCGCGCTGAGCCCGGAAAGCGCGGCTGGCGCGTACTTATCTCTGAGGTAGTTGTGCCCAATCTGCCCCGATATGTCCTCGATGGCCGAGAGGATGTGGTCGAAGGCCTGGACGGGGAGGTGTCAGCATCAGGGCGGCCCCCAGCCCTCCCCGCACCCCTCCCCTCTGCAGACCCCCGCCCCTCCCCCGCCCTACCCGGCCATGCAGCTTCTCGTTGAGCTTGGGCTGCCTTTCCTCACTCTTCTTCACCTTCAGCCACTGCACCAGGGGCTTGATGGTCAGGCCCTGGAAGACGGTCCCGCTGACGCTGACGGCTCCGGCAGCCCCCAGCCCCGCCCGAGCCCCAGAGTGAGTCACGGGCCGGCCGTGCTGACGCCCTCTCCGGGTCCCCAGCAACTAGCATCTTGGCCCCCGCCCTCCCTGAGAGCCGAGCGCCGGCCCCGGACGTGAACCAGGCCGCAGGCGTCGGCCACGCCCGTGAAGAACAGTTTTAGGTCAAGCTGTGCTCCGGCCCCCGTGGGGCCACGTGGAAACCTACAAAACGGCTCCCAGTTACTAAAATTACAAAACCAATTAGGATCTGGAGCCTGGAGACCCTGGCGCGGGGCTGTGGCGCACCTGGAGGATGACGGTGAAGAAGATGACGATGATGGTGGTGCTGACGAACAGGTTCTTCTCCTTGACCTGCGTCTCGTCCAGGAGCGCGACGAGCGCGTAGGCCACGGCCCCGCGCAGGCCGCCGTAGGACAAGACCACCTGGTCTATGAGCTCCAGCTGCACCATGCGGTAGCGGTTCAGGACCCAGGTCTGGAGGACGACGCCTGCGGGGCGCAGCGCTCAGCCCTGGCCTCCCGAGGCATCCCCTGGGCCACCCTCCCTAAGAGTCCCCTGCAGGACAGCGTCTGGGTGGCCGAGCACATGGGGATGAAGGGACAGTGGCACCCTGGCCACGGTGTCCCACGCCACGTCCCTTGGAGCCACGCTCAACCCCTACAGGTGGGTCGCACTGCTCACGCGGGTTCTGGGGGTGACAGGCTGGCTGGGACGTGGGGTCCAGCTTCATGCCCCCTCCTGCCTTACTGACCCTGTTCTCGGGGGGGCCGCATCCAGAGTGAGTCAGGGGAAGGCCAGGTGGGTGCCCTCTGGGTTCCAGAACCTTCTGCCCCGGCCCACAGGTCCACACCATCTTGTCCCTCTCTGCCCGTGGGCAGGGCCACGAGAAAGGCCGGGCCCTCAAGGGGCCGACATAGGCCGGGATGTGGGCCGGGCAGCTCCCTGGGGAGCTGCTGACGGACACACCCGGCCACGACCCGCCTCACCGATGGCCCGGTACACGGAGATGAAGACCAGCGTCAGGAGGATGAAGGCCGTGTTCCACGTCCAGATGAGGGGGTCCACGGCCGAGATGCCCAGGAACATGAAGATGATGGTCTCGGCGCTGCTGGCCAGCAGCTTCATCATGTAGCGCACGGTGGTGGCCGACTGCTCGGAGATGTTGGCCTTCACGTACTTCTGGCAGCAGATGCCGCAGAAGGTGATGCTGTGAGCGGATGCAGACACCTCAGCAGCCGAGGCCCAGCCCCTGCCTGTCCCCAGGCCCCCGGCAGCCCCTCGGCTCTGCCTGGGCTGGGTCCCCTCCGCGAGAGTCAGTCCCCGGCTGGTACCCTGGAGGCGGCTGCCACAGGCTGTTCTGTGCCAACCGCCCGGGAACTCTGGGTAGACGTGGGGGCGCCGCGGGCCTCCCTGCGTCGGTGTGGGCTGCGGACGGGCAGAGGACAGCACGGCAGGGCGTCTGGAGCCCTCTGCACCCATCCTCAGAGCCACGGTGCAGCCAGCCACAGACAGTGCTGCGGAAAGGCCGCCCCCTGAAATCCTGGCCCACAGGGACGCCCTGGCAGCCCCGCTCCCACTCGCCCCCCGTAGGGGCTGCGAGACCCCGGCGGCTGTGGGAGCCTGCGCCCACCTGGCCGCGCTCGCCATGCCCCTGCTGCCAGCCTGCGGCGGGGGCGGGGGGACTCACGCCAGGATGGCTGACAGGGACAGCATCTCCGACGTCAGGTAGGACAGGTAGGAGATGACGAAGACGAAGCCGGGCTCGATGATGCGCACGTGCTTGGTGAAGCGGGTCACCAGCGACAGCAGGAAGGCGAAGGCCACCCCCATCAGCGTGCCCCCCAGGCTGACCACGAAGAAGGACACTGCGGGACAAGGACGCGGGGCTGAGGCACCTGAAAAGCTCTTTGTGGCTGTGCGTGTGGGTGAGGCCGGCCGTCCTTCCGGGCCATTCCGCGCTGGGGGTTGCCTGGCGACCCCCCCTCCCCACGGAGGTGCCAAGGGCTCAGGAAACAAAGGGCCGGTTTTTTCTCTTCCGGGGAGAGGGCCTGGGAAGGGCGCAGTCCCACGGCCCCCTTGTGAGGCCTCCGGTGGCCTCAGACCCTGCCCGACTGTCCCTGTCCCTGCCCAGTGAGGGGCCCGGACCACCATGACCACGTCCAGTGTGTCTGCGGATTGCTCTGCGAAGGGACGCGTACAGAGGGCCCTGCGGCGCGGCCGTGAGCAGAAACGCTTTTCCCTACAGGGGCTCGGCAGAGGCCCCCGAGAGGCCGTGGCCTGGGGCCGGGCTGCCTGCCCCCGACGGGCGGCCCCGCGGCTACACACCTATGCCCTTCACGCAGTCCACGCCGGTCACCTGGTCACCTCCCAGCGCCACGAAAGATGTGAACACGTCGTACAGGACCTGCGGGGACAGACAGGCCGGACCTCGGTCAGCCCTCGGAGGCCGCTGGAAGGAGGCCATCGGGGTGATGACCCTCAACAGGAAGGCGGACACGTGAGGTGAGAGAACATTCCGGAGGAAGCAGAAACTACGGGGCGACGCTGGACTCTGCCCACCCCCAGGACGTCGGGTCCCCACGAAGCCAGCCTGCTGCGACCACTTGTCAACCCCGTTCACGGAGACCGCGGGTCGCAGCCCTGCAGGCTTTGCATGATGCTGTTTAAGCCTCATCCCCTGGACAGCGCGTGGAGACGGTGCATGGAGACAGCTCTGTTTTCTGAGCCGCGCTCTCCTCCATGGCGCTGGGGCCCCAGGCCGAGGGGGCCGGTGCAGGGTGGGGGCTGCCCGGGGGCGGCCGTGGCCTCTGCGCCTCTGGGCCAGGCACTGCACTGTCCAGGCCTGTCGAGAGCTGGCGCCCGTTGGCTTGTTACTAAGGCGGCAACTCTGTGCCCCCAGGCATTGCACAGTGCACATCCTAGGCCACTGTGACAGGGCAGCAACGTTCCTCACGACACTTCCATTCATTTCACGTCGTGTTGATGGGCCTGGGCCTCGGGGGCACCAGCCCCCTGCTGCCCATGGGGCTCCCAAGGGAGCCCCCACAACACCCGGGGCCCACTGTCAGCACCTGCATAACCTTCCTTCCCTGAGTCCTGTCACGGGCTGAATCGTGTGCCCGCAGCTCCTACGCATTGACCCCGGTCCTGCCGCCCACTCACCACGGTGACGGCGTCGTTCAGCAGCGACTCCCCGAAGACGATGATGAACAGCACCTCGTTGACATGGACCTCCTCAAACACCGCCAGGACGGCCACCGGGTCCACCGCCGCAATGAGGCTGCCGAACAGGAGGAAGTCCAGCAGCCCGGCCTGCAGCTCGCCTGGGAGACAGCAAGGAAGGGGCCATGGGGCAGCCGCAGCACCTGCTGCCCACGGAGGCAACCGGGGGCCGGTTGCAGGCCGTGGCCTCTCCCCTCTGGTCCAGGCCATCTTTCCCGGGGCAGCCTCAGGCCGCCGGCCTATGACCTGGGCTGGAGCCCCCTGGGGGTCAGCCTGCCTGCCCCCACGCGCCCCCCTCTAGCCCACAACACGCCCCCACCCGCCCCCGAGTCTCCCACACCCTCCAGGGAAGGCCGTGCGGCCGGAGGGGCTGCTGGTGGGAGGGAAGCAGGCAGGGCGCGGGCGGGAGCGTCAGAGCCCCGCGGGGTCCAGCCAGGGTCAAAGGGGCAGCGGCAGGTGCGGATGTTCACGTGCCGGGCAGGGGACGGGGCTCTCCCTGGGGGTCTGGGAAGTGATGTCCCACCCAGACTTGCATGAGGAGCAGGCGGGAGCCGGTCTGGGACCGCCTGGGGTGGGGGACCATGCCTCGCGAGGGCAGGGCGGGCGGAGGAGCCCCCTTCCTCCTCCTCTGGCCTCCTGGGCCCCTGGTGTGAAGGGTTTTGCCAAACTGCACTTTCATTGCTCCCAACCCTTGGGGACAGGCCATACCTAGAGCCACTGTAGCCTGGCAACAGCCCTGCCGGACCCTCAGGGACCCGCGTGTGCCACCTGGGCTGCCTGCTCTCGCACGTGTCTGCGGCAGCCCGGCGGACTCGGGGGCTGCTGCTGCCTTCCCGGCTACGAGGGAACCAGCCCCAGTGGACCCTGGGCCCCAGACAGCGTGGCTTAGGGTGTGGGGAGGCTGTGGGGGTGGGGAGGCCTGCACGCATCCCCAGCTCCCTCTCCCTCCTGGGCTGGGTCGGGACCCCCAGGCCCTCAGTGCGGGACTCGGGGTGTGGAGGTTTGTGCCTGGAGCCCCCTGGCCGGAGGGGACAGTGCTGGAGGGGACGGGGTCCCCGTGGCGTGAGCCCCAGGCCCTGGCGGCCTTGCCAGTGTCCGACACCCTGAAGAGGTGGAAGCTAAAGAACCGACTTCCAGCGTGTCCAAGTCCCGCTGTGCAGGGTCACATGTGGCGTCTCTGTCCCCAGAGCAGTCTCTGGCTGAGGCCACACGGCCACACTGTGAGGCTGGGGTCTGCCTTGGGGCCAATCTCCAAAGGCCGCTGGCCTCAGACTGCACCAGGCGTCCAACCTGTGCCTCTAGTACCCTGACAACCCGAGCAGAAGAGCCGTCTGCAACTGTCCTGGGGGCGGCGGGGTTCAGACTCGCCCCCCCTCTGGACGGCTGACCACACGCTGGCCACGGGAGGGCTCCAGGCCCCTTCCTACCTCCGGCAAGGCCTGCTCCGGCCAGCAGAGGCGCCTGCTGCCTGTAGCGTCTGCAGGGCCTGTCCCCTTGCTGCCGGACATCACTGCCAGGCTGGCCGGGCTGACACTTCCCTGGGGGTCACCCTGGCCTGGGGCCACACCTCGGGTTGGGCTGCCATTGCAGAGGTCACCCCCCTGCCTCCCAGCCCTGCCTGGCTGGCCGTGGGAGCTCTGTGACCGTGGCAGCACCCGCCTTGACCAGCTGGGTCCCCAGGGCTGAGCACAAGCCCCCAGGTCGCTGTCACTGAGGGAAAGTGGCCTGCCGAGTGCGGGATGCAAGTTTCCAGCAGCAAGCACGGCTGAAGGTCGGCGGAGCAGTCAGAGGATGGCCCGAGATGTCCCTGGTGACTAGAATGTTCCAGAACTTGATGGTGGTGCACGGTATGGGCTGAGCACGTTTGCCAAAATGCAGCCAGTTGTACCTTAAGATCTGTGCTGCTCACCATGGATAGAGCCGCCTGCCGGCCAGGCTGGTTAGAGGCTTCTCTGTGGACCTCAGGGCAACCTCTGGGGACGTCTTGTCGGGGGGACTTGTGGTGACGGGGCCTTGAGTCAGGCGAGTCCTTGCCCCAAACCCTGAACTGCCCCTGGGGCCAGTGGCTGTGCCACCTGTGGCATTACCCTGTGACTAGTGGCACCCATGTGTGTCTGCTCCCATGAGTCTGGGTCAGCTGGCGGGAGGGCTGGAGGCCTCGATGAGCGTGCAGATAGGTGGCGAGGCCGCGGGGGCGAGATGGGGGGACATCCGCGCCTCCCCCCGCCACCCGGGACAGGGCAGGGACCAGCCCCACTCCCAGTCCCATGGCGGCCACTCCCAGGCTGGGGGTTGGGTACAAACCGCTGAGCGCTCGGGGACCACAGCAGTGTGGGGAAACAGCGGGGCGGGGTCAGCCACCGGGAGATGCCGGCATCCCGCAGGTTTGGGCGGGAGCGACACCCAACGCACAAGGCCAGCACCCCCGTCTAGCTCATGTTGCCACCCGTGGGGCTCCGTGCCAGCCCCACCTCCTTCTCCCTGGGGACGGTGGCCGGACAGGGTGGACAGACCCGCAGGAGGAGGAGCGGCGGTGCCAGCGGTGCCTGAGCCAAACGCTGCGCATGCCGCCTGGGGTCTGTGCTCCGGGCGGGGACTCACCCATCAGCCCGCTGAGGAAGACGCCGTAGAGGGACAGGCCGGTGGTGGCCGCGTTCCACACGGTGCCGACCACGGCGTAGAGCAGGATGGTGCCCAGGTTGCCGAAGAAGAGCCGGTTGGGCATGAAGTAGCCGGCGTCCAGCACGATGGGCGGCAGCAGGTAGAAGAAGAAGACGGTGGGCGTGAGCGCGAAGGAGGCGATGTGGTCGGCCGCCCAGACGATGCCGCCCAGCACCAGGCCCAGGACGATGAGCAGGGCGCTCTCGGGGACCACGCTGGTGATCTTGTGGGACAGGTGGAACACTGCGGGGGTGGGGGCAGAGTCAGGGGGCTGCGGGGGAGGGGAGCGAGTGGGGGGACTGCGGGGGAGGGG